TTAGCTGACCCTGTATCCTGCCTAGCTCGCCACATATGTTGCCTTACTACAATAGTTGAGTTGTTAATTTTCTGAAAGAAAACTAGCAACTAAAGCGTCACATTAAGGCTGGTATTAGGCGAGATAGGCAGCATATGGGCAGCCTAAGCAGGATTTATGGCCAAGATTTCCGCCTCTTTTTCCATTTCAGTTACAGTTGCCTGGCCTTTTATCTGCTGCTTTTTCGTAGCAAGCGTCGACGCCCTTCGCCCTATAGGCACAATTGCTATCAGCTGCTAAGAAATACTGCATTCCGTGAGCGGGAGAAGTGACGAGGTTATTTTTAGTATGCCAATTTCCGTCCGATTCTGACAGATTCGTTGTGGAAACTTCGAGAAATAGCGGCTGATATGTTAGAGCAGGTAAGGATCGGTGCACAAGAAAATTTCAGATGGTTGTATCTTAATTTGATTCAGACGATTCGTCAATGTCGACGTGATATCAGCGTAATGTTGGCGAAAGATGATTGTACGTTGTTATTCATAATTGTTTTTTTTTCTAATCATTTCGACGCTATGTGCCCAAGGGGACCACTCTTCTGCGAGACTAAGCCGCGTCATGTCTGCTCGTCTGCTCACTCAGAGAGACACTGTGACGTGGCTTTTTGGAGTCCGAGCAAGACGTAGCTGAGCTCCCTCGGAGAATACCCATGGCACCAGGCCATCAGACCCATGGCCTTTTTTCATAGTCGTTGAGAACCATAAAGGAAGCACCATCCCTTGTGGCGTAATATTTCAATTTCATTTTTTTGTTGCAGTATTTGTGAAAATCGACGATCTTGAGCGTTGTGATGAGACTAAGGATGTGCTCAATGCCTGTCTCAAACATGTCCAGAATATTTCCCACCTTCTGAAAGATGTGAGTTTTCGTTTTGCCGTTACAGCTTTCTTCACAGTGTTGTGGACCTATCAGATAAGGTGATTAAAAAAGGCGAAACCTTAGCTTGGGAAACGGGACAGCACTTTCATTGTCTTTGGCGGAGGGGCTAAACCATACTATCTGGCGCATTAGAGGGTGGGTCTCAGCATTCTTGCACCAGCTATGCTGGAACTGACCGGGGAAGTTCGCCAACTTACCATGGAACTTTGAATGGAGACCTGGGTAGATCGATAGTCTATAAGGTTATTTACAAATATAGATAGCAAAACTGCAACCTGCATTTCACAAGCAACTTATGAGCAGATAGCAAAACTGCAACCTGCATTTCACAAGCAACTTATGAGCAGGTAAAGTTTGTAATGGTGCAGTAGGGTGGAGGCTTGGTGGTGAGCTGTGAAGCATAAGCGAGGAATCGCATACGTCGAATCGAGTCGTCGAACGTCGAACCTTACCACTGAACCACCACGACTCGATTCGACGTATGCGATTCCTCGCTTATGCTTCACAGCTCACCACCAAGCCTCCACCCTACTGCACCATTACAAACTTTACCTGCTCATAAGTTGCTTGTGAAATGCAGGTTGCAGTTTTGCTATCTATATTTGTAAATAACCTTATAGACTCTATCGATCTACCCAGGTCTCCATTCAAAGTTCCATGGTAAGTTGGCGGACTTCCCTGGTGAGCTCTGCCTCTCTTCTCCTGTCGTGAAGCGTGAACTTCGTTAGAGTGCGTTCATATGGCGTCAGCGTTTCGAGCATACTTAAGGAGCGCTAGATCGACACCTGTACTTTATTATTCACTGAAGACGCTGATATACGCTGACGTACGCTCAAAACGCTACGCAAAGTATGACATCCTTTTTATCTAATTATTCCAGATTTTGGCTGAGATGGTGTACTCGCAAACGATGGCGAATATTGTCTCATTCCTTTTGGACAGCATTTGTGATGTGATCCTTCGAATGGAAGACATACGATCGGTGGACGCCGACATCTCGGCTGATATGGTCGACACACTTTTGACAGAGTTGGCGCCGATTTTCCTAGTCAGTAAGGCAAGAGTTTCCAAGAGTAGAACTCGTTTCCATAGTTTTCATCCTAGGTTAATGGCCGCTCATCGATTCACGAGATTTGCTCCACATCATACTTCCGTACAAAGGAGATCATTTTCTGCCTGAAAGGGAGTCTTCAGGTGGGTGTTGTTCTGTTCTATAACCTTTTCTTATTCTGCTGTTTTTCTGTTTTTTCTTTCTGGAAGGACCAGCTCATAACGAGGGCATAGGTGAATGTAGTGAAGAGGACGGGTTCGAGGTTCACTGGATTGCGCCACGCATCCTGCTCGGGTCCAAATCTTGGAGAGCTTCTTATGCGTACTTGGCTTAGAAAGAGTATGGGTCGCCATGATTATTGCACCCCTGAGTTCGTTTGATGGTCAGGCGCCTTCTTTGGACATGGTAGTTCTGCTTGTGAGCGTAGTGGATGTGCTATTTTGACAGCCTAAAAAACGCGTGAGGAAAGCGATGCTCGCGACAAAACCACGGCTCCGCCCACCAGCCACGGCGACTCCCAACCTTCATTTTTGACTGTACATGGTAGTGCGTTTGTTGCGCTACTAACTCTTTTCATTGTGAATGGTGAGAGTGAGGAAATGAGGAGGATGAGCAGGCACCAACAAGTAAGAGCTCGTCCGACCACGCCCTTCATTCGCCTTGTGCACGCACCAGCGCGTTTCAGGTAGGGTTCTACAAGAGGCACGTCGAGCTGGTATTCTCTGATTTTCTTTACGTTTGTGTTACTCGAGTGAACAGCTGCGACAGTTATGCATCTGCCACCGCGTTCGCAGCTAAACCATGGACACTCCCCTTCCTATACCGCGAAATGGTCGTATGGACGGTAGCAGGAACCGAGCAGCATTACTACTGAAATCATTTCTTATCAAGCACCTGTTGAGTGCTGCTTTCTTCGTTAATAGTGGTGGTCTCCATGACTTCTATGGCACCGCAGAACTTCAGTTTTCCTTCACTTTCATGAATTTCACTGTTTTAGAGTATCGATGACCGTTGGTGCAGTGCTAAAGGCCCGTTAGCTCAGTGGCTTCAACCTGGGGAAGTCCGATCACTGATCAAGGCATTGTTCATGAACACGGAGCAAAGACGCCAATTACTGGACTCGATCTTTTGATTGTTCGATTCGTGAGGTCTTCGCTTCCTCCATTTCCAGGTTTCCGGAGTAAAAGCCTCCAGAAATAAGCCCAGTGCTTGTAAGATCCCGGTGCTTCTAAGATCAATTCTTGAATCATACTGCTAACCATTATTACGAGGTATTTGTACTTGAATAAGTGATTTTCGAGTGGACATTTGTCTTATCAAAACTATTGACTGTATTTTGTTTCTGTAGATTTTAAAAGCATAAACTTTTATTCATTTCGTTGACATACATGGCTGCGGCTAGCTTTTATGCTGAGAGTCCGGAGTGCTCGAATTAGGGTGAGCACCGCTTGGAGTCTTGACGTAGAGATGAAAGTGCTCTGAGTAGCTTTTGAATAATTTCGTAGAACCAGTACGCATGAGAATAGTTCCGGATTTCTGAGTGGTGGTGGGATGCGTGGCGTATTCCGGGGCAGTTTGTCCCAATATCCCTCTCCCCTTCCTTATGGTCAACAAACTTCTTTGGATCTCTCTATACTTCGAATATAAGCTAACCT